GCCTCGCCCCACGCCCCACGCCCCGGCCCCCAGGCGCCCCGGCTCCACACCCTTGAGGGAGCGGAGGGGGACATTCAGAGATGGGGGCTGCCGGGGGGTGCGCACGTGCAGCTGGGGCAACGGGCAAGACCCCAGGCCCCCGGGGCTGAGCTCACAGTCATTTATGGGGCATCCTCTTCAGGACTCAGCGCGGTGTCCGCCAGCCGCGGGAGGCGGCAGGAAGGCGCTGCCGGGCCCGCCTTACCTGAGTAGGGCTGGACGTTGACGCCCCAGCACCGGGGGTCCAGCCCATAGAGCTGCAGCGCTCGCTTCTGACAGAGGACCTCCAGCTCGTCGATGAACTCAGTCCCGCCGTAGTACCTGCGGGAAGGCGGGGACGTGGCCCACCGCGACCCAGCCTCCGTGCTCAGGGCAGAGGCCAGAAGCTTTGGGGGGGCCAAAGCGCACGGGCCGGACCGCGCACCTGGTCCCACCGGACACCCTGTCAGTGCCCAGCAGCCACGCCTCCCGACTGGAACGACGTCCTGACATTGCTCCCGGGACAGACCTGAGGATGCCGTCACTGTGCAGCAGGCCAGTCACAGCTCTGACCCCTTGTCCAGGCGCCCAGGGGAGTCAACCCACAGGAGAGGGCGGAATGGTGTTTGCCAGGGGCTGGGGGGGGGTTACTGGGATTTTTTTAGCATTTCTCATAAAATTGTATTTTTTGTTTAATAGTTATATATCTAAATTTACCACATTTTAAAAAATTATTAGTATTCTAATAGTCATGGCATTCCTGATCCAGAAGAAGTTAACACTTAGGCCTTGTGGCCACGAAACGCTTTAAACGTTTTTACCCTATACACATTTTTTGATTATAGTTAAAAAAAACACGTAACAGAAAATTTGCCATCTTAACCATTTGAAGCTCAGCAGTGCTACAGCGACAGGTACAGTCACGCCGTTGTGTAAAAGTCTCCAGAGCTTTTTCGTCTTGCAAAACAGAAGCTCCGTGCCAGCAAACTCCTCACCACTCCCCACCACTCTCTCTTCTGCTCGGACAACTCCAGGTACCTCATTTAAGAGGAATCACAGTCTTTGTCTTCTGGGGACGGGCTGATTTCATTTAGCACAATGTCCTCAAGGCTGACCTATGTTGGAGTGTGTTCAGGACTTCCTTCCTTTTTAAGGCTGCAGGATGTTCTGCTGATGGACAGACCACATTTTGTTTATCTATTCACCACCATGGACATGTGGCTGCTGTGAGTAACACTGCAATGAGCATGGGTGTGCAAATATGCGTTTGAGGTCTGGCTTTCAACTCTACTGGACAGACACCTGGAAGTGGGATTGCGGGATCATACGGTCATTCTATTTTAAGTTTTTGAGGGACCATGCAGCCCACAGGGGCTGCACCAGTTTTCATCCCCGCCAGCAGTGCACAGGGTTCCAGTTTCTCCCCATCCCCATCCACACGGGTCCTTTTCTGTTTTCTCATCATCCTAGCGGGTGTGAGGTGTTGTCTCATCGTGAGTCTCATCTGCTTTTCCCTGATGGTCAGTGATGAACGTCTTTTGTGTGCTGCTGGCCGGAGTGGCATTCATTGGGGACAGAGCTCTGTCTCTGCAAGACGAGAAAGCTCTGGACACGGAGGGCAGTGAAACTCGCACAGATCGTGAGTCTGCTTAATGCCGTGGAACTCGGCACTTAGAATGGGACCTGTTGTGTTAAGCAGATTTTACCGCAATAAAGAAGAGAGGGGCATGAGAGGTCTTCACCCACAACTTGTCCAGCACCAGGTGTGTGGGGTTTTCCTCACACCAGCCAGTTCTGACAGTCCCTGCCGTCCTGCCGCTCACTCCAACTCCGACCGAGCTCCGCGGAGTTAGCGCCAGACCCACAGGTGAGGGGCTCAGCCCCACGGGGGCCCTCCCTCAGAGGCCGGTCCACGAGTACCAGGTCCCCGGGTGACCCGCCCTTCCGTGTGACAGGCTCGGGGGGCCCAGGACACCCCTCTCGGGTCGGTACCCTCTGGAACGGCTCACAGAACTCAGGGAGGTGGGGGGTGCTTTACTTGCTAATGCTGGTTAATCATAAAGGACACAACTCAGACCAGTGCAAGAGATGCTCTGGGCAGAGGATAGGGGGCTGGGAGCTTCCGTGCCCCCCCGGGCACCGCCCTCCCTGCACCCCGATGTGTTCACCGAACCCCACTGCTTAGGTTTTTGTGGAGGTTTTGTTGTGAGGTGTAACTGATAAAATCACCGGCCGGTGTGACTAACTCAGCCTCCAGCCCTGTCATTCAGCCACCAGCCTCCACCCTGAAGCCACCAAGGGTCACCACCTGAACACATACTCAGGTTTGGACGAAAGGGCTCATTATGAGCCAAGATGCTCGAGGGAGTTGGAAGCTGTGTCTGGAACGGGACAAAGACCAACCCCTCCTAGGATTTACAATACCCAGGGGCTCCACTGAGTTGCACAACTTACTTCAGTGCATTGAACAGCGTGGACGTGAAACCTTAATACGACTGTGATAAAAAAGTAAAAACAAGAAGTTTGCTTTTCCATTTGTATCTGGCAGTCACTGAGGCTAGATCAATAATTCTTTCAAACTCTGACCACTAATAACATTCCCAAAGATAAACTGCCCATTACTGAGAAAATACGAAAGTGGGAACGGGTACAATCACCTTTAAAAACTCTTTTAACGTGAATAAAGGAATTAATTATCTACGCACCTATTTAAGTTTTTAATGACAGTCTTATTTGGTTCAGGGAGGTAAGTGAAAACCACAGAACAAGTCTTGCAACCGGCAGTTCCCTTCTGCCTCGTGTCCTCGGCTCCATGGCCCCCTCGGCTGTCCCGTGACCCCCCACTCTACCCCACCGCGGGCCTGTGAGTGACATTCTGTTCTGGGCAAGGGATTCGGAAGCCTGGTTCCGGCCTGGGATCCAAGCCACGCTCCTCAGGTCGACCTCACCTACAACGAGCAAGTGCCCCTCACTCGTGTCACTGTCACGGAAACAGAGCCAGGGTTGGGGTGCCACTGGTGGTTCTGGCGCCCTCAGCCTCTGCACCTCACCTCTCCAGGGGCACCAAAGCATTTCCTACAAGATCAGCTAGAAATGCCAGAACCTTCGGTACAGCCTGGGGCTTGGAGTATATGTGTGGTTTTTCCAACAACAGCCAAGTCTCGGACACCAGACTGGGTGTCTGGATTCCATTCGGTTCTGACCCTGACCACCACCAGAGTCAGCGCGAACCCCCAGGCTGAGGGCTCAGGCCCACAGGCTGCCCCACTTCAGATGCCAGGAGAAGGCCCCCGGTCACCAGGCGCCCGCAGGGCTATCCAAGTCGGCTGCAGACTCTGGGGTCCCGGCACCCGCCCGGGTTGGGTAATTCACTGAAACGCAGAACAGTGCCTTCCCTGTTACTACTGGTCCATCACAAAGGACTCGACTCGGGACCAGCTCAACGGACGAGACACACGGGGCAAGGTTTGGGGGGCGTGTGACCCCACAACCGACCCTTCTGGCCTCCCCTCCCCTCCCAGGAGGCTGGGCTGGGTGTGAGGGGGCTGAAACTTCTGACTCAGTGTATGTAGGAAACTCAGTACAGAATGGCACTCGACTCCAAGGCAACCCTTCCTTTTCTGTGTAAAACCTTATGTCAAATTCTGTGATCACTTTTGCCTGAGGATGACTGTGAAAAACAAAAATGAATGACTTCATGGCTCTCAGGGTGAAGGAGGTGACTGAAATCACCAAGCAACTCAATCCAACCTTTAAAAGGCAGGCACGGTTTCCAGAGCCGTGGGTTGTGTTCACTCCGGAGTCGCTCTTGGTACCGATTCCATCGCTCGCACAGCAGCAACCTTCCATGGCCTCACTAAGAGCAGCCGCACCCTCCTTCTGGCCTGGCTGTTATGCCAGAAAGCCCCGGGGGGCTGTCCAAGTGGCCCAGGACCCCTGCCCCGAGAGCAGCGGCACCGCCCCCACCCTGGGAATCAGAGGGGAGCGCGTGGGAGAGCCGGGGGCCTGGCCGGTTCCCAGAGCACCTGCGGGTTCAGCCCCTCGCTTCGCCGCGTCAGAGGACACCACCTACCTCTGGCCGGGGTAACCCTCCGAGTACTTGTTATTTAAGCAAGAACCCAGGGCCTCCAGGACAGCTCGGCTGGCGAAGTTCTCCGAGGCGATCAGCTCCAGCCCGACCCGCTGCCGGCGGCTCTCCTTCCTGATGATGTCGTAGACCTGGCGAGAGGGAGACCGGCGCTGAGCACCTGCACGCTTTATTTCAACGCTTTGCTCCGACGGAGGCAGTCACCGAGGACGGAGACGAGACACTCAGAGGCGCCCATCCTGCCCCTCGGAGGGGAGCGCCACCCGGACGACCAGACCAAGACGGCCCCACAGCCCCGAAGTGGGGTGGGGGGAGTCTTCCTTGAGATTTCAGCCTCTGGTAAGGAACTGACAGAAGAAAGTGAATTAAGGGAAACAAAGTGACTGGCGGGAAGACGCTCTTTAAACCACGTGTCTCACGAAGCTTGAAAACTGCGGACCGTCCTGGTATTTTCATGCCTACGAATTTCACCAGGTTTTCCCTCCGTGAACCTCGCTCCTTGCTCCTCTTCCTTAAAATAAAAGGCGGACAGACAAGCCCACAGAGACAGGAGGCAGCCCAGTGGCTGCCCAGGGCTAGCATCTGGGGGATGGATGGGGGTGACTGCTAGTGGGTTTGAGGTTTCCTTTCAGAGGGATGAAAAATGTTCTAAAAGAGACTGTGCGCACACTGCAAACCACTGAGCCGCGTGTTTTAGATGAGTGTCCTGTGTGGTAAGTGCACTCACTTACCTCACGTACAAAGCGGCAACAAAAACGCATTAATAAAAGATGCTTCTAGACATACTCCTCTGACCTGTGAGGAAGGGTCAAACCTCAGCGCCCAAGCCCTCCCCCTTTCCTCCGGAGACAACCCACAGCCCCACCTCCTCGTCGCTGTCCTTCAGGGGCTGTGCCAGCATCTTGCTGTGCGAGGACCACAGGTCGGCATCCCAGGGGGCCCCGTTGACTGGAGTCACCATCGTGCTGCTCCGAAGGTGCCTAAAAACGGGAAACTTCCAACATTAAACTCAGTCAAAGCTCATTGCATCGCCACCTGCTGGTCCCTGTGTTGCTGAAGTACAGACACGTGTTAGCCATGTGCTCAGACCCGCTCGGAGGCCGCGAGGACACAGAGCCACCTGTGAACCGCTGGGTCCCTGCGGAGCGTGAGGCCCAGCCCAGCCCCCAGGCAGCCTGGCATCCCCCTTCCCAGGTGAACTCCTGGCTGCGGCCCCCACTAAGCCAGGTTCCCTGAAGGCAAGGACTGAGGGCAACTTCCCTCAGTGCCCGGCACAGCCACACAGGAAGCATCTTAGCTGAGGGCTAATGACTCAGACCCCCACCCGCGCTCTACGGACCCAGCATCCGGGCGGCCAGGGCGGCAGGTACAGCACGTGCTGGCCCGAGCCCCAGCCCGCCACCAGGACCACAGGGCAGATGCGCAGGCCTGCACCTGTCATCACTAAAGTACAGCGGACTGGAAGTGCGTGTTTAGCATACATTCCTCCGAAGAACGAGAATGTGTGCCCAGTGGCGTTTCTGCTACTGTGAAAGCTTCAGTTTTGCTGAAGCTGACTCCTTCAGTTGACCGTCGGCAGCTTTTCACAGCTTTTTGCATTGGCTGAGTTTTCATTTCAAGCTCATTCCCCGGACAACGACTTACAAGGCCGTTCCCGGCGGTGGGACTGGGAACCCCAAGTGGGCCACCAGCCCGAGCCCGCCTTCCTGAGGCTTCCGGGGAGACAGACGAGTGAGAAACAGGGCAAGTGCCCTGACGGAGGATGGGCAACCGAGGAAGGTGCACGAACACAAGAGCTGTGGGCAGGGCTCACTCTGGACGCCCAGCAGAGAAAGGGCCGGTCCTGGCAAGGGAGCCCGCCTCCCTGCAGCACTGGAGATAAGAAGCATGTATACTGGTCTCCGCTCCTAAAAATGTCATGACTTCCTGGGTGACGGGAGTGTCACCTGTTCTAATGAGGTGACTCCGGGGTGCTTCCTGGACGGCAGCCGTCACCAGGAGGACCAGGCCGTGACGAGAAGCTGGAATTGGCAGCCCCCTGCCCACAGCTCCTCCAGAGAGGACAGAGGGCTGGGAATGGAGTCAACGGTCCATCTTGCCTGCATCAGGGGGCCTCCACGAGACCCCAGCAGCACGGGGTGCGGGGCGTCCAGGTGGGCGAGCACGTCCACCCTGACAGGTGACGCAGCCCAGCTCCACGGGGGCCCCCCAGACCTCGCCGCGTGCACCCGTGCCCTCTATCACACCCTTAACAAACCGGGGAGCAGAAGAAAGTGCTGCCCTGAGCTCTGCGAGCTGCTCCAGACAACGCGCGGATCCGGGGACGTCGCGGGAGCCTCCTGTTTGCAGTCAAGACGGACAGACGTCGTGGGTCAGCTGGGGACCCAGTACTTGCGACTGGCATGTGAAGGAGGGGGTGGTGCCGTCTGTGGGACTGAACACCCGACCTGCGGGGTCTGTGCTAGGCCTGGTTCCGGCCAGAATTGCAGAGCACCCAGCTGGAGTCGCAGAACTGCTGGGGGAAGGAAACCCACCCGTCTGGTGTCAGAAGTCAGGGGAGTTAAGGGGAGACACAGCGGGAAGAGGGCGGTTTTTCCCACACAGGTGCACAAATATGTCATTAAACAAAACAGCCCAACAGTCCCAAACCACAGCGGTCCTCCTTAATCTCTGGTGGAGCTAGTGAAAAGAAACTGCCGGTAATCTTTAACCAGGAAATTCCTAACTGGGGCTTTCAGAGCAGCTGTGATTTCAACACAAGCACAGCGTGATCAGGAGCACAGCAACTCCTGCAAAATGCAAACCAGCAGTAAGTGCCAGGACTCAAAGGCCACCGTGTGGGGGCCCCGTCCACAGCCCTTCAGAGCTGGAGAGACATGTGAGTGGTCTGGGCGCCCTGCCCACCGCTTCCTCGAACTCAAGAATGGCCAACACACGATGGGTGGCCAACCCACAGGAGAGACACCAGAGCCTAAATAAGCCCTCTGGTCCTAGGATCTCAAAGAGAAAAGCTGCTTTTAAGTTCTGACTGCTCAAGGTTAAGAGGCTTCAAAGGCGATAAGCAACACAGAGCAAGTATTTCTCAACCACCAAATAACTAAAGTTCATTTGGAACCCCCCCGGGACAGTCAGGTCTACAATCATTCCGTGAAAAGCACACAGGTCCACTGGGCTCTGGAAAAACAAGGCCTCTGCCTCCACCTGTGTCTCACTCGGTCCACCTGCTGCCCTTTGCCCTCACTGCAAATCCTCTCCATTCCCCCCTGGGCGGGAGTCCCCTCTGCCAGCCACAGGGTCACCCTGCTCTCGCTGCCACCCCGCGGAGTTTTCCCCCTGTGTCCTCAGACCAAGTCAGCCTCCCACAGAATCTAATCCACGGTCAAATCCACACCCAACTTGAATCCTAAGCTTTTTTTAAAGCATGGAAGAAGTTTCAATTCTTTATTCAAACAAGGAGTTCAAAGTTCTTTTGTCTCGTTCCGCTTAAGTCAGTTACATCTATTACAGACACAATCTATCATATCTGTTAAGTCAGCCGAATCCATTACATCCTGGGGAACCTGAATTACAGTAAGACAGACAAAGATCCTCAGCCTGTGCTTAAGATCAAAGGGAAGCTCGTCATTTTTCGCTAATGCTGTATTTAGGGAAGACATTTAGCACCTTTTCTCAGTGCCTGGAGGTTGGCTGGAAAACAGTACGCACTGAACTTCTCACCTTTTCTATGAACTATGATAAAATATACATAACATAAAATTTAGCATTTTAACCATGATTAAGTTGCACAATTCAGGGACACTAAGTACACTCACATGATCAACCATCCCCGCCACCCACCTCCAGAACTTCTTCACCTTTTCATCTTCTCAAACTGAGACTCCATCCCCAGTGAACACTCTCCATTCCCTCCTCCAGCCCTGGGGAAACAGCTGTTCTATTTTCTGCCTCTACGATTTTGACCATTTCAGGTACCTCACGTGAATGAAATCACACAGTATTTGTCCTTCAGTGTCTGGCTTACTCGCTTGGCATAATGTCTTTAAAGTTCATCAGTGTTGGAGCACGTGTCAGAACCTCCTTCCTTTTTAAGGCTGGTTAACATTCCACTGCATGAACAGACCACATTGTGTCCATCCTTTGCTGACACTCGGGCTGCTCTCACCTCTTGGCTATTGGGAGGAAAGCCGCTATGAACCTGGGGGCACAGATGCCAAGTCCCTGCTTCCAGTTCTTCTGGGTGCAGACCCGGGAGTGGAATTGCTGGGCCAGACCGGAATTCTATGTTTAATTCAAAATAAGCGTTTGATGTTTCGGAGCTTTACTTCACTGCTGTTAGCCTACAATGGGTTCATTCATCCCTTCAGCGAATACTCACGAGTAACTTCTCTCTGTCCCAGGCACTGAGCTAGGACAAGACACAGGCCCTGCTCTTCGGAGAAACAGGCTATCGAAAAGTAAACGAGAAACACACGAGATAATAATACGTGGGTGAAAAAAAAATCATACGTGGGTGGCAGGCATCTCTAGACCGGACATGAACCGTGCCCCAGCTGAGATCTGAACAGTGGGAAGAGATGCAGGGCAAGAGCAAGCGCCAAGTGCGAAGGCCCTGAAGTGGGAAGTTTGACTTGTCCAGGGTCGGAAGTCAGGGAAAACACCGAGGCACAGGAGATGCGATGCGAGGGCCTGGGGCGAGCATGGGTGGGAGAACGGGTTCTCACCTTGAAGGCATGTATTCTGCAAGTTTCAAACTGTGTTCCAGAAACTTTGGCCTTAGGTTATTTCTCAGTCCATCTGTTTAAGAACTAACCGAAACTAACAACTAGACACACCCACGTAGAGAAAAGGACCGAGTTACCTTAAGCAAGAGCAGGCAGACCTCTCACAGGCCCGGCTGGACCCCTCCCCTTCCCCATGTCCCAGCAGTGAAGCCCACTGCAGGGCCAGCCTGCGGGGTTCAGTCTCCCCTCCCTACTTCCCGGTGTGCGGCCCCGGCTGCTGACACCTCTGTTTTTTCAGTCTTCTTATAAATGGCACAGAGATGAGGACTGCTCTGAGCTGGGCGGGCACTAGACGAGGTGCCAGGCGTGGAGCACCAGATAAGGGGCAGGCACAGGGGAGCTGCTCGGAGCTCAGCAGCTCCTATGCTGTTAGAGAAGTCTGGAGACCTTGGGGCCATGTTTATTACCATTCAGTAACCCCCGCTGAACACCCCAGGGAGCCACAGCTCACTCCTTAACACTGCCGGTGCTTCTGCTGGGCAAGTATCACTCCCGTGCAGCACCATCCTCACCCCAATTCCAGGGAAACAGATCCGCTACGTGAATTCACTTGCCAGGGTTCCCAGCCTCCCCAAGCCCCCAGATCTTCCCTGGGCCTCTGTCCACAAGTGGAGCCAGCCAGGAGCCTCCCGAGGCAACTGCTGTGTGCCTGTCTCACACACATGCTGTGTCTCCTGCTTTCCAGAGGAGGTCACCGAGGCTCAGAAGCCAAGTGGCCTAGTCATAGAACCGTCGGAGTCCTTTAGTTCCGAAGCCCTTCTCCGTGACACTGCCCTAAATAAAAGCACAGTCTCCTATCTCCACTGCATGTTCCTTCAGGTAAAAAATTTTGATTCCATAAGAACCTGAACTGGTGTTTCCAGTCGGCCACCTCTGCCCGACCCAGGCACATGTTTGTTTTGGCCTCCGCTGACCAAGGATCCTTCAACGTCCTGGAGCTCGACGCACAGGCACCGGGCCCAGAGCCCCACAGGACAGCGCCTGTCTCCGAGGGCGGGCGAGGGAGAGCGGAGGACAGGCGCAGCTCGGCCCTCCTCTCCGAGCCTCACCTTCCTCGCCTGCGAAGTGGGCTACCAGACGGCACTCGA